GCTTTTCAACCATCACAGAATAAGGGGCCTTCTCATAATCATAAACCTAAGTTTCGTAAGAGTAATAAGTCCTACCGAAGTCAGCAGAATAAAAATTTTAGTGGTCTCAAAGGAGTTATAAAGAAAAATGATCAATGCAAGTTCTGTAAAAAGAAGGGTCACTGGCAGAAAGACTGTTTTAAATTCAAGACTTGGTTGGAAAAGAAGAAGAGTTCTTTAGGTATTCCCTTGGCCTTAGTTTGTTTTGAGTCTTCTTCAGTAGATGTGCCTTTGAATTCTTGGTGGTTAGACTCGGGAGCTAGTGTTCATATTGCGAATTCCTTGCAGGTGTTCATAAGCAAACGGAGGTCAAGTGAGAATGAAGTAAGATTGAGCGTTGCAAATGGATTTCAAGTGAATTTTGAATTCATGGGAGTAGTGAAGTTAACTTTAGAGTCTGATTTTATCTTGTTTTAGAAAATACAGTTTATGTACCGCAGATGAGACAGAATTTAATTTCTATACCGAAACTTGATGCTTATGGTTTTACATTTAATTTTGGTAATGGAATGGCTAAGTTATTTAATGATTCTCGTTTGATTGGGAATTGCATTTTATGTGATGGTTTATATAAATTATCTTTGGCTCCTTTTGGTGATGTCACGTGTGTTACAAATATATCAAAGAAAAGACTTTAATTTGTGAATCATCCTCTATATTGTGGCATAAGCGTTTGGAACATATTTCTAAGGATAGAATGGAAAGATTAGTAAAAGATGAGATACTTCCATCCTTAGACTTCTCTGATTTTGAAACCTGTGTGAATTGTATAAGAGGAAAGCTAACTAAATCTACAAGAAAGGGTTCGACTAGGAGTAATGAAATTTTGGACTTAATTCACGTTGATATCAATGGACCTTTGCCTTCCACCATATGTGGGAACAAATACTTTATAACCTTCACTGATGATTTCTCACGATATCGATATGTTTACTTGATTAACGATAAATCATATGCACTTGAGAAATTTAAAGTTTTCAAACTGGAAGTAGAGAAACAATGTCGGAAAAGTATCAAAGTTGTGAGATCTAACCAAGGTGGTGAGTACTATGGGAAATATGACGAATCTGGTCAAAATATGGGTGATTTTACAAAGTTTTTACAAGAGTGTGGAATAGTGCCCTAATATACCATGCTAGGGACATCTGAGTAGAATGATGTTTCTGAAAGACGTTATTGAACTCTAAAAGATATGGTTAGAAGTATGATGAGTAGAACAAATTTGCTTGAATATTTGTGGGGTAAAGCCTTGAAAACAGCTATGCATATTTTGAACATAGTTCCAAGTAAAGTTGTTGCAAAGACACCTTTTGAATTATGGACAGGACGTAAGCCAAGTATGGCTCACTTTAAAGTTAGAGGATGTCCAGCTGAGGTTAAGATTTATAATCCATTTGAAAAGAAATTAGACCCTAAATCAACTCTGGCTACTTTATTGGGTATCCAGATGGATCAAAGGGATATAAGTTTTACTGTCCAAATCGCAGCACTAGAATCGTGGAGTCCATTACTGCTAAGTTTCTGGAGAACGATTTTGGAGATAGTGGGAGTTCCACGTTGAGAGAAATTCTTGTTGAACATAATCAAGTTGTTGTTTCAGTTCCTGTCATACAGGAAAGAGTTGGTTCTCAATCAATTGAAATTGTTAATGAAGAACCGAAGAACCAGGATGAAGCTCCAATCCCTCAAATAACGATTGAATCGGTTCTTGAGCCACAAGTTAGGAGATCACAAAGGGAAAGAAGATCTGCATTGCCCCGTGATTATATTACATATTTATTGGAGAGCGATTTTAATATTAGGCATATTGTTGATCCTGTAACTTATAACCAAGCATTGACAAGTCCTGATACAGATAAATGGATAGCTGCCGTAGAAGATGAAATGAATTCCATGGAAAGGAATAAAGTTTGGGATCTTGTTGAACTTCCTCCAGATGCTAAGGTTGTTAATAACAAGTAAATTTTCAAAAGTAAATTAGATTCAAAAGGAAATGTTGAACGAAAGAAAGCAAGATTGGTTGCAAAAGGTTTCACTCAGAGAGAGGGTATTGATTATGTTGAAACCTTCTCCCCTGTTTCGTCGCAATTTTTTTTTCGAATTATCATGGCTCTTGTGGCACACTACAATTTGGAGCTTCATCAAAGGGATGTTAAGACATCATTTTTAAATGAAGATCTTTCTGAAATGGTTTATATAAAACAGCCTGAAGGTTTTGTTGTGAAAGGAAAAGAAAACTTGGTGTATAAGTTAAACAAATCATTATATGGACTTAAACAATCATCTCGACAGTGGTATTTGAAATTTGATGAGGTTGTGATCTCTCTTGGTTTTGTTGAAACTACTATTGATCAATACATTTATCTTAAAATCAGTGAGAGAAATTTTATCTTCATTGTACTGTATGTTGATGACATTCTGCTTGCTAGCAGTAACTTAGGGTTGCTTCATGAGACAAAAAAAATGTTGTTTGCTAATTTTGAAATGAAAGATCTTGGAGAAGCTTCCTATGTACTTGGTATTGAAATACATCGTGATAGAAATCGTGGCTTATTGGGACTTTCTCAGAAAGCTTATATACGATGTGTTCTAGAAAGGTTTAATATGCAAAATTGTGCATCTAGTGATGTACCTATCATAAAAGGAGATAAATTTAACAAAACTCAATGTCCAAGGAATGAGCTAGAAAGGGAGTCTAGAAGATGATTCCATATGCTAGTGCTGTGGGAAGCTTGATGTATGCTCAAGTTTGCACTAGATCGGATATAGCCTACGCAGTAAGTGTCCTTAGCAGATATCAGTCTAATCAAGGACAAGAGCATTGGAAAGCAGTTAAGAAAGTTATGAGATATTTGAAGAAAACTGAAAATTATATGCTTACATTCTAGCATACAAATCATCTTGAGGTGGTAGGATATTCAGATTCTGATTTTGCTGGTTCAAGATGATTTGAAATCAACCTCAGGTTATATTTTTACATTAGCTGGTGGTGTCATTTCTTGGAAAGTACTAAACAGACTCTAGTGGCATCTTCTACTATGCAAGTTGAATTTGTGGCATGTTATGGGGCTACAGTCCAAGCCTTTTGGCTAAGAAATTTCATCTCTGGCTTGAAAGTTGTTGATTTTATCTCAAGTTGATCATCATCTACTGTGATAACAGTGCAGCAGTATTCTTTTCAAAGAATAATAAAAGTTCTGGTAGATCAAAATATATTGACATCAAATATTTGGTTGTTAGAGACAGAGTCAAAGAAGGGCAGACGAAAATAGAGCATATCAATACAGAGGCGACGGTTGTAGATCCCTTGACTAAGGGACTCGCTCCAAAAATTTTTAAGACACATGTTACTAATGTCGGTATTGTGGAAACATTTGATGTTTTTGGCTAGTGGGAGTTATATATATGTAAAGTACTACGTTTTGGGCTTGATCCCTTTGCGGGGTACGTAAACAACTCATATGTTTTCGGGTACAACCCCTTCTGATAATAAAATAATTTTTCCTCTATCCATGAACTATTTTAAGCATGCATTTGACTTATGTCTTTTTATATTATTGGCATCTTGAAATATGACGTATAAAGATATAAGATGAGTCTCTTTTGGAGACATGTGGCTTCACTTGATTCGAAGCATTATGATGACCGATATGAGTTAGCACAATTTTTTATCTCATTTTGTGCTAAGTTCATACCACATACTACCATATTGGTTGGAGGATGGGAATCCATGTTGATAATGATGTTGACATTTGTAGCTGTGAGATGGTCTTACATCGCTTAATTGGTGTAATGACTTTCATGTTCGGTGTTAATATTCTCGTTGGATCGGATCATATTACATAAGGTGTCATCATTGGAGCTACACTTTTGTGGCCACCTATGTAGTCTAACCCGGATGATAAAACTTTGTTATGGCGATCAAATGTTTGCCCAAGTGAAAGAATGTTGGAATAATTAATAATTCCATATGTGGGCTTTACATTCGATTGCAAATTTTATGGATTAGATGTATTACTCATAATGATATTTGTGTTTGGGCCAAATTTATTAAGTGATCAATTGGGCATTTTACACCTTACGAGTTGTAATTAATTTGATGTGGTAATTTTAAGTATGTGGGCAGGAAATAAACCATAATTAGAATTTTAGTCGTAATGGGACGGCTCAATTATTTCCTATATAAAGGCTAGGTTCCCTCTCCTCTCCATATCTTTTATTGGCTTGCCCCGTTGACAACTGATACTTTGTGAGGAGAAAGGAGAGGAAGATCTTGACCGCTATTACAATTATCATTCATATCAACAATGACTTCCGCATGTATGAATTCGTTTCTATTAATTTATTAGATTGTGATTATCGATTCTTAACATGATTAAAACTAAATTCAATAATTATTATTCACATATTTCAAATGATACAACTTATAATCTAATGGCTTGGCAAAAGTTTTGATGAGGTGTTTCAATGCAGTCCATTTAGAGCAAATAAAAAAAAAGTGAAGGGAAATAAAAATTGACTAAAAATAGAAGGAAAAAAATGTTTTTTTTTTAGCTAAGCTATTAGATTAAAATGTATATAATTAAGTGTATTTACATCTCAATTACTCAGTACATGTTTGGAAAAGCTTTTAATTACTTATATAAGTTAGTCAACCACTATTTTTATTCATATATTTTGTAGATCCTACAACTTTTATTCGTTTATTGTTCACACGTTTCATATCATACAACTAATGATTTAATAGCTTGGCAAAAATTTCGATAAGATGTTTCAACATGGTCCATTAAAAAAAAAAAGGAAAAAAGAAAAAAAAACACCCTCAAAGTGAAGGGAAATAAAAATTGACTAAAAGTAGAAAAAAAAAAGGTTTTATTGGTCTTGCTATCGAATATTTTATTTCTCAATTCATTACACACACAAGTGGATCGCTTAAGTTTACTAGGAATTTAAGCAAGATATAGTGGAAACAACATACAATTTAATTTATTTGAAGTAAAGATATTATGAAAACTACTAAACATACTCGTGTATGCACATACGAAAATACATGTTACTTATACATGCGTTGTGTCGATGTGTGACATAAGTTAGTTCAAGTACATTTATCCCGGATATCAATGAACTTCTATAAAATAGCTTCACCAAGTTCGTATGTATCATTCATAATTAACCTTGACAGCGATAATATTGTTCGCAATCTCTGCGGGGGGTGTTCGACGGGGCAGGAACACAACCACTGTTGCCCGTGTACGGCTTGCCGCTGGCACTACCTTCGCATACTGGCTGATCTCCTTTCAAAGCCCCTGGTGAGATGTATTTTTTATTCTCAAGAATTCTTCTGCTTATCTCAGACTGCATTAAAATCTCCAATTCTTCATCACAATCTGCTATTGAACCATTGCACGAAGAGAAATTTGCAATATCATTGAGGCCTCTTACAGCAGTAATGCTGATAAAGTATGAGAAGATAAGGATTTGAAAGAGAAAGTTGGTTTTGGAATTTGTTTCCATTTTATGTAATGTCTTTTAAATTGTTTTGCACCATTTGAGCACACTTTATAATGGGTTTTTCTTCATCTTTTTGAAGACAGTGGAAGCCACTCTAGAAAGGGGGACTGCACTATTTCACCTAACAATATAGTGTCGATTTGGTTTTTAATTTCTTTATTTTTTAAATTTATCCTTTTATTTTAGGTTGAGTTGGCAAGTGCATTCGAAAATAAGTTTAATAGGGAAACTCGAACTCAGTCGAATATAGTTATTAGAAGACGAGTTAAGTTGATTTTTAATTCAAAAAATATGTTGTATTGGACAATATAATATATTCAAATTCGTTAGATGTATGACAAATTAAATATTTTTCTATTTAACGGTAATCCATCTAGATTGATATGTCATGTATAAAAATTAAAGATTTGTTTACTTGGAAAAATTTTGAACTAGGCTTCTTGACCCTAATTTAGTGATAAGAGTTGGGACTGATTGTTCAGTGATTATTTATTTATATTTAATCATTTTTAGAAAAATGTACGTACATAAATATTCCAATGATTTACTAATGTTATAACATATTAACAAATAATAAAAAACTAACTAATCCGGTTTTACTAATGCAACTTTTGCAAACAATTTTAATAATTAAATACTAGCCAATCAAATTCGTCGGCTAGCTCAATAGTTATTAATTAATATATAGTTTTTTTTTTTAAGTAATTATGCAATGAACTGTAATTGTTTAGCAACGCTTCTGCTAATTATATACATAATTTTTAGATCTGCACGTAAATCTAAATGGGAGTTTGAATTCTTCAACGATCTTTATTTTGTAAAAAATAGAGTACAAGTGGGAGGGACACATGAAGTGCGTCAGAAATAGGGACAGGCTTATCCATTGTTGTCCACTCTGAACAAATACTGAATTAACTTTGAAAAATAATTGGGCACTCATATGGCCACTAATGACTTTGATCTCCTCAACAACATATTGAATATGGAAAAATCTACTTGTACATAATTTTTGTGGCCCTATCACAAGTGAGGGAGTGTGATGTGTGAACACCTTTATGTACAAAAATTATGTACCTTTAACAAAGCCCATTGAATATTCTCCCAAGTTCCTCTTGAATTGGTCAACATTATCATGATGACCATAGTAGAATCCAATTCCACCCAGAAGCTTATTAAATTCATGTATTGCACAAAGTATCGTTTTTAATGTCTATGACCGATTCGATTTTTTATGGATTTCAGTATCATCTTTTAAAGTCCAATGCATACTAAATTGGGTGATTATATTCACACCACAACTTTTATTTCTTGCACCACATTTTAATTACACTTAAGGTTCTTAGAGTGCGTTTGATTTAACGTTTTGAAGTAATTTTCAATTTTCGAAAACACTTAAAATATGTTTGGTACGTCATTTTCAAAAATGCGTTTTTGAAAACAAGGAAAAATTTGCAACACAAAATTCAAAATGACTTTTTGAACATTTAAAAAACTCAAAACAAGGAAAGTGAATTTAAAAATTTTCCAATATAGAATAATTAATAAAATCACACAAAACTTTCTCAGATATAAAAACCCATCTCTGAATCTCTCTCTTCCCTCCCTCTTCCCAAGCTTCTTCAAAATATCATAAAACTAAATCTAAAGTTTTTAAACCAAACACGTTTTCTAGTTTTTTGTTTTCAAAAACAATTTTTTAGACTGATAAACCAAATGTGTTTTCTGTAATTTTAAAATAATCACTCAAAACAGAAAATAGAAAATGAATTAAAAAAAGCAAACCAAACACACGCTTAATCTTTGCTCATTGTAGCACTTATGATCCTAATGATTTTTCATTTAATTCTTATTCTCAAACTTTCCATTAATTGATATATTTTCTGAGGAAATGGTGGTAGATGGCCGGGTAACCTGGCCACTTTTTCACAATAGTCTTTGATTATATTTAAGTAAAAAAGGGTAAAAAATTTAAAGAAATCACAATACCCATCATACCTCCATTTTGAACGTTGAGAATTTGAAAATTCTTACTATTTCTTGTTCTTAAATGTTTCTTCATCTCCATCTCCATCGCCATTCTTCAAGACTTTTTCATCCATCTTTATTTCCATCTCCATATTCAAGATTTCTTCATTTTATTTGGTTAAATTTTAATTTATTTGCTTATAATATTGATGGATAATGTGCTTTATCTTTAATTTTCAAAGAATTAAACAACAATTATTTCATTGTGTTTTAGCAGATATGTTATTTGTTAATGAGGTCCAGGGTCCGATGGGAGAAACCTTGCTTTTTAATTTTGAAATGAAGGGTATATTTGTCTTTTAATGTTAAAAAGGCTATTGTGTGAATAATTAGTAAGTTAGGCTTATGTGCTGAATGGAGTGTTTGATGTGGTTATTTCAAAAAATGCGGCATATAATTTATATTTGATAACAGTTTTATATCCAAAAGTTCATTAAAGTAGTGAAAAACAACTTATTTTTTAATCATATTTTTTAAAAATAAATAAATAAAAAGTGCAAAAAAATATTTTTCCCTGACTTCAGAGCATGAAAATAAAATATATTGATCTAAATCATAATTAAAGATGATACGTACTAATTGTTGGGTTTGTGACCCAAATTCGGTAGGGGTTTTTGGAAAATTTTTGTTTTTTATTCCACGTATTTTTTATTGGAAAAATATTGTTTTCTTTATTCCACGCTTTTTTGATACTATTTCCATCTTGAACAATATTGTTAGTGTTTTGATATGTCATTTCTATATAGTTTGCTCTTCTTTACAAGCTGATTTATTATAGAAATTAGAATAATTGTGAGAAATACAATTGTTGTAATTCTCTCTCCATTATAGTTGAATAAAATCTTCAATTCTCCTGTCAAATTAAATTTTTGTCTTTGTGTTCATCTTGTTATTATGATCGATACTTCACATCATGCAGTATAACTTCGTTCTGTCTCTAACAAGTGATATCAGAGCTTTGATTTTTTTGATTTGTGCGAGGTTCTTATTTTTTATGGCAGCCATAAAGTATGATATTTCACTTTTGGATCGCAATACTAGATTCTCGTTGTACAAAAGATGCAAGCTATACTTACGCAGAAGAATTTGGATGATGTGTTGTTAGGTTTTGATAAGATGCCCTCAACTTAGTTGATTGAGGAGAAATAACATAAAGATCGAAAAGCACTTTCATAAATTTATTTTTATCTTTCGAAAAACATTTTTCAGGATATTTTGAAGAAGAAAATGGTAGCAACATTGTGGTTGAAGTTTGAACAATTGTGCATGAGCATTTGTATTCTTATCACATGACAAAAGGCGAACTATTAAAAGATCGCCTAGTTGTTTCTAAGGAGATCATCGCTGATTTGAAGACTTTAAAGGTGAAGTATGACGAAGAAGATTGGGTCTTAATTCTTTTGTGTTTGTTTTCGGCTTCATTTACTTCGTTTAGAAACATGATTTTATATATTCGTGATACTCTCACTATTGAAGATGTGTATGATGCTTTGTTTTCAAAGGAGAAGATGAAGTATCTGATTGGATCTGAGACTAGAGATAGAGAATGTCTCATTGTTTATGATGGTCGCGAAAGGATAATTCCAAATCTAATTTCAAAAATCAAGTTTGTTTTTATTGCAAGAAGAAATGGTACATCAAGAGGGATTGCAACAAGTTGCACAATAAAGGAAATTTGGCTCAGATCAGAAGAGAAAGCAATCAGAAATTATAGGTGAAGCCGACGTTGTAGAGAACTACTTGAATGATAGAGACATATTGCCTATTTCTGACGCCGAGTCCAAACCTGACGATGATTGGATTTTAGATACAGCTTGTCCTTTTCATATGTGTCCCAATTGGGATTTATTTTCAACATATGAAATAGTTTCGATAGATGTCGTTGTTAAGGGAAACAACGCACCTTGTTGGGTAGCTGGTATTGATAGAGTTAAACTTAAATTGATGAATGTGACAGTTAGAATACTTGATCATGTTCAACATGTTTTAGATTTGAAGAAAAATCTCACCTCCTTGAGTACTCTTGATTAAAAGGGTACAAGTTCTTTGGTGGATATGGATATGAAGTTTTGAGGGTCCGTGTTGTATTAGAGGGGTAAAAAAGTCATAGTTATACGTCTTGCAAGGTTGTGCAGAATCCATGAAGAATAATCAACAGAGGTTTAGAACCGTGGTGGATATTCAGTTTGGTACAGTACTGTTGGGATTTGATTTGGGGGTCTATGTTGAAGAATATAGCTCAATCAAATTTGAAGGACATGTGTAATGCCAATTTGCCACCACCTACGGTGCCATCGTATTCAATTGCTAGGGACAGACCCAGTGAAGATATATACCGAGATGCTGATTTTGTTGCACATGCTTTAAGTTTATTAGACATGTTTAGTCTAGTAAGAAGCCTTCTACAAAAGCATTTGGTATTGATTTTTTAGGGTGTGTTTCGACCTTATTTGGTAAATGTTAAATAATTTGATTTTTTTTGGTTGAACTCGAGGTAATTTCATAAAGTAGTGATTAGATTCATTTATCCTAGCTGAATATCGTGGAAGAGGTGGCGAATTTTCGGTTCATTGGAGATGTTAGTTCTGTTCTTTTGAAGAGTTTAGTTAATTCCTTGCAATCATATTTTTTCTGCAGGTGGAGAAATTTTGGAGCTTCGTTTATTATAGTGGAATTTGTGTCAATGTGGAAATTGTTGAGTTTGTGACTTAAATTCGGTTGGTTTTTTGGGAAAATATTGTTTCTTTTATTCCACGCGTTTTTAATTGAAAAAGTATTGTTTGCTTTATTCACTTTGTGTTCATCTTGTTGTTATGATCAATACTTCATATAGTGCCGTATAATCTCATTCTGCTTCCCAATACTAATTAATGGAATGTTAAAAATAAGAATTTGATGAAAAAAGTTTTAAAAAAATATAATTGCTACAATGAAAAAAATTGAGAAGCTTAACTACAATTAAAATGGGATATAACAAAAAAATAAATAAATAAAATTGTGGTGTCAACATA